TCTGTGGTGCTCCTGGAGCCCAAATACATGAAGTCTGTTACTGCTTCCATTTCTACCCCTTCTATTTGCCAGGAATTGATGGGTCCAGATGCCACAATCTTAGTTTTTTTAATGTTGTTTCAAGTCAGCTTTCGCACTCTCCTCTTTCATCCTCATCTAGAGGCTCTTTAGTTCTTCACTTTCTGCCATTAGGGTGGTATCATCTGCATATCTGAGGTTGTTGATGTTTCTCCCTGCAATCTTAATTCCGGCTTGTGATTCTTCCAGCCTTGCATTTCTCACGAAACTTTTCAGTTTACTCTTTTGCAAAATAGGATAGCTTGGAGATGGCAAAGTCAGAATTAACTAAATGAGAACACCTGCAGGGTGCATCTGCAACTCAGTACCACAAATTCGTATGGGCTATCTCATACTTTCCTCTTTATTAAACTCAAATGAGTGTGTTAGCAGAACTGGCTACACTTAATCTTTGATAATAGGCTGAAAAGAAAGGACAACAAAGTTTTATGGCTAAAACTAAAAGCGTGGTACAAATAAAAAAACAGGAACAACTGATAAATACATTACTTATAAATAAGTTTGGATGTCAGTTATGGATCCTTTAACAAGTAGGACAATTTAAATAAATTGTGATTCCAGTTAAGATGGTGGGAAAGCCCAGGCCCCGTGGTTATAACCTTATTTGGCCCAAGTTCCTAATCTCCGTTTTTCAGTAGCATGCTGGGAAACTGCACTCCAAAAGGTTTCTTTATGTATTTGTTAACTGTCCCTTCTGTCACACTACAAATTACAGTGCTGTGCCAACCTTTGGAAGGACGTTCAGTCCTACATTCAAGGCTTTGGAGGAGAGGTTTACATTCAGTCCTGGGGCCAGAGGTTGGACACTACTGGGGTATAACATCTCAACTTCCAATAAACTATGCTGTTTGAATTTTGGAGAGGTCTGAGTTACTGCTTTGGGCCCAAGTTACTGCTTTGGGAATGGTTCTCATTATTTATTTGTTTGTTTACATACATTTAAGCAATTCCTGACTCCAGCTGATTCTGGGCACTTTACATATGAAAAGCCAGAACAATAAAACAGAGACACAGATGATATGCATCCAGGAAAAAAAAAAACACATGGAGCAGAATAAAATCACCAACCACCCTGCCCTGAGGCCTGAGAGAACAGCCGGATTTTCAGTGCCTTTGAGAACATCATCAGGATGGGAGCCATATGGATCTCTGGGGGAATGCTATTCCAGACAGCAGATACAACAACAGAGAAGGCACACCTCCAAGGTCCCAACAGATGACATTATTTAACTGAGGGGATTTGAGATGCCTCCGTGCTACCAGATCTTATAAGAGAGGCAGAAACTATTAGAGATAGGTGTCCCACAATTAACCAGGCCCTATGCCATGAAAAGCTTTATACATGGTAACCAGCACCTTGAATTGCATCCAGAAGCCAACTGACAACCAATACAGCTCATGGAATAGTGGTGTCACACAGGCATTCTGTGGCATTACTGCTCATGCCGCCACATTCTGAAGTTGAGATATTCTTGGATTGAGATGCTTCAGTTTGAGGAGCTGCAATGAAGTACCTTGCTGAATTACTTCTTTCTGCCTCAGTGACAATCAAAACTGGGCCAATCTGCCTCAGCAAGCATTTTCCTTCAATGACAGGGACACATGCTCAGATGTTCCAGTTATCCAGAGAAGTCAAGTGACATGGCCACACTGTTGTTCAGAAGGAGAGTATTTCTTTGTGTTATTGTTTTGATTTGAAAGCATGCTTTGCTTGAGGTTTCAATAAAGAACCCCTTCAAACACCTATACAGTGCTGGCTTATGTGCATTATGCAGAATGAAGACAGTAACATGCTGTTCACACTTCTCAGACTTACTCCAACACAGATTTAGTTTCACTTATTATTCTCCCTGAATTGCAATATCTTAGTCAAGTGTATCTTAGTCAGGTATATCAGGGGACATGGTGGCGCAGCGGCTTAATGATGCTTAAAGTTGCCGGCCAGAAATGGTCAACACTTTAGCGGTTCCAGACCAGCTTCGCACAGCCGAGCGCGCTCC